GCTGCAATTGCGACAGCACTTCTTCAGCCAAAGAGTGGTGAATGCATGGAACGCACTGCCAACATTTGTTGTTGAGGCCAAGACGGTCAACTGCTTTTAAAAAAAAAACTAGACTTACATTAGACAGATATGGGTATTATAATAGGCCAGACCTAAACTCAACCCATCTAACTCTAAACTAACCTTAACCTTAAACAGGAGGTGGTGATATACCCACAATCTTCGATGGTCTGTGAAGTTTATTGTATTCTCTGCTAGCTAGAATTTTATAAGAATGTTGTGTTCCACGAACTATCAGTTCATGACACAAACAGATCATGTAGCCTATAATTCTAAATAATCCTAAAAAATATGGTGAAGGGATTGGGAAATGGGCCAAATAATATATAAGTACACTGTATAAACAGGTATAGAGGGTTCCGCGACTTGCACTAAATATAGCAATATCACCTACAATCCCGTGCCGCCGGCCATACTGGTTCCAGAATTGCGAACACGTGTTACCGATATGCACAATCTACCGATTTTACATCGATAGTATTATTATATAGTAATCTATATTAGCAGTAAGTGGATCCCGGTTTTGCAGACAGGTTTACCAGCGCGTGTTGGGGTGCTAGAGTTTGATATGGTTGTGCAGACCCGGTTTTACAAGGTGTTGCAGGCAGGTTTATCAGTGTGGGTTGGGGTGCTAGTCTGCTAGAGTTCAATGAGATTACACAAGTCCGGTTTTGCAGGGCTTTGCATGCAGGTTTATTAGCGTGGGTTGGGATGCTAGAGTTCGATGTGGTTGCCGCACAGTCGGCGGATTGCTAGATTGAGAAGATCGGGCGATTGCACGCAACACATATCATGGACTTGAGTTTGTTTACATCGCGAGTGTTCAGAAATGTCACCGATTTTACTGCATATATAGCTATTAAACGAAGCTTTTTATAATATCTGGTGTATGCACATTTGCCAACCGTCTGAAGTGTACGTAGTATGGACAAGTACTTTGATTCTCTAGACAACGTAGCCAAAGCACGCTATCTCGAGAAAATTGCGTGCGTTGGGAATCGACACCCGTACGAGAATGGAACGAGGACCACAACTTGTGCCCATCACGTACTTATTAGGATCTCGTGAATTGCCTACCTAACATTCTAACCGAGTCCATTTTATACTCCAAGGACTTTCAGAACCACAAAAGCCTGGATGCCTACGATCGACTGTTCTGCGGTTGGGTTAGTGGTGTATCAGTCTACATCTATCATGTGAACAGTGAGAGTCCCACCTACGTCGTTATCCGAGCACGTGTTATGCACTCCCAGTCTTTGATTATACCATCTCTCTATCCGTGCATGGGTCATGATGAGAGAATATGGGACAGGCATCATTTCAGCACACTAATTGTAACGCTGGGCTTGGTGAATTCTGTACACATGACTGTTGCCTCGGTGCTATTTTATGGTCCCTCTTGTCTCTCGTCACTTTACCTTGTGTTGTGATCAAGCTAGGCAGCCTAAAAAAACTGTGGCTCTCTCTGATACCGATTGCTGCAGTTGACAACACCGCAGGAGAGCGGCGTTGTGATAGATTTGCTTAATAGGCGAATAAAATGAGCAGAAAACAGTGCGTTGCTCAATGTACTTGTACCATGCCTGAACTGGTTTGTGGAACCGTCATGGCCGGCAGCGTTGCATTGTGGGTAATTTGAAAATTCGCTAACCCTCTATATATGTAAGCGCTAGGCTATTGGCCAATTAATTGTCTAGTATCTGTTGAAAAGTATTATAAATAATGATTCATGTAGCCATCATTAAAGTGATAATGCCACTGTAAATAGTAAAAGTATAAAAATTATGTCCACTTTTTCACGAACTGTAAGTAATTCTGTTCACTTTTTATGGTTAAATTGCTGTGGTATACTTCCTATTTTGCATTTCCGTTTGATGCGAACAAACACTCGTGACTCATACATGGCCCATAGCAAGCATTTAATGTCGTGATAAATATATCAAATCGCCCAGGTTTTTTGGATTTTTAACTATTGAAAAACAATGTTATCACGTAAAAATTTGAGGATACATTAAGTCCCGTTACAGGGTTCGTAGCGGGTCTTCCAAAGTCTTATAAGTACTTATTTTGCCAAAAATAAAATAAGGGCCCTTATTAGTACTTATTTTTGGTGAAATCTTAGAAAAGTACTTAAGGATACTCTCAAGGGTTTAGGCAAAATTTTACCGATTTTTCATTTTCAATTTTATTCGATGGCTAACACTATGTGCCACCTTCGTACATGCTCATTTCTTCATATAACGGTACATGGCTCAAATTATGCTAATGTGTTACACTTGTATATCCAAAAATGCATGCTCTCCCAACAAAAATGTAATAACCCTTTTCTTTTTCATCAAGAAACATCAGGATCACTCCCATTAGTTTATTTCAAATATGTTTTTTGATATTCTAGTTTTCAGTTTAAAAAATGTTATACTTTCAGTATGGATTTGTTACAAGCAAAAACTAGGCACATTCTTTGCCTAAACTGCCTGCATTTCCCTGTGTATTCATGCAAGTGAACAGCCTACCCTAACAAACAACATTCTAAACTGTAAAAAAACTGTCCATTTAATAAATTCACTGAACAGTTTTCCCTTAGTGTCATTACAAACATGTATTCACGTGCATTGAATTTTCTGTCAAATTGTGTGTAGTGTACCACCCCACCAAACTGGCCTAAACCATGGTTTATAATTCATGTGAAAACTTTGTCTGTATTCATAATGTGTGATGCTTGATAATAAACTAATTTTCCAATGATTACCGTGTTCCTTTTGATAAATATCCTAGTTGTAAGTATTAGCATCATCACTAATCCGTCAAAAGTCAACGTACGTGAAATCCCTAACATACGTTAATGTCCATTTAGACTCAAAAACATAAAATTTACAGGTACCAGGAATGCAGCTGATTTTAGTCCACTGAGACCTGAAAGATAGTTATCCTAACTAATGAATAGTGATGGTTTAAGAAAAAAATATCAAAAATTATTTTGGAAACTTTTGAAACACTTTTGTAACACAGCATATTTTGAGCCACATGTGAACTGTCAGAGCGATTTGATTGCCCGCGTACATGTGCAGTAAGCAGGGGCTGACGTCATGATGACGTCATTGACATGCGGTCCCGGTAGTTGCGCGCAGCGCACAGCGCGCGGTGCAGCCGCGCCCCCACAGCGAATACGCCACCCCCTTATTGTCCACTTAGACAGATAACTTAGACAGGTCTCTGAAAAACGAACTCCGCGAAAACGGGGCGGAATCCAACCGACATTTCGCGATCGACGCCTAGAGGTCATCTCCAAACGGCCCCTAAACATTTTTGGGGGTGGTGCGCCTCACGGGTAATGCGTAGTGGCTCCTACAAGAAACCCCAAGAAATGCTGTCAGTCAGCGACCACGCGCTCGCTCATTGGCCGTTACGCGATGACGTGGGCTACTGCCGAGTATAGCGTCATGTCTATCACAGAGGTTTTAACGAAGACGCGTATGGCGCTCCACGTGGGCGGGCGCGGTCTAGATTCTATCTCCAAAACCGCCGCCGCGGCGCCTGGCTGCGTACGTGGCAGGTTATATACACGTACATACTGGCCCCTGCTGCAGCGCGCCCATGCAGCAGCAAAGCAGCATCAGCAAGAAATACTGGCCCATGCAGCAGCAAAGCAGCAGCAGCAGCAAGCAATACTGGCCCCTACTGCAGCGCGCTCCTGCAGCAGCACCAAATACTGGTCCCTGCTGCAGCGCGGCCCTGGAGCAGCAAAGCAGCAGCAGCAGGAAATGCCCTCCCCCCAAGGCCGCCGTAGCCAAGCCGTGTACGTCTGACCAAAACTGCGCGATGTTACGCTGCCCGCTATATGGATTCACGCGCCCGCCCTCCTTCGGCGCGCGAATTCGTATAGTGGGCAGCGCGAGATGCTACATACAACACCCCGCGGTCGCGTGCGCACAGTCCTGCGGAAGTGCGCGGCTTAACCGCTCTCGGCGGTCGGGGAACGACGCATCTTTTGCGCAACGCCATCTTGTACCCGGTCTCTCTGGTTGTAGACAAGTATCTCCAGCTTAGTGATGTACCCGTTAGTGTGCTATATATGGGTTTCTTACATCTGAGATATGAAGCTTCATTCCCAGACAGGTCAAGAAGTAAAAAGAATGTCATACTTTAATGAAGGCTTAATGTAGCTCTCTTGCAACACTGTCATATCATGTCAAGGGTTTCAGTCTTTTAGTTCTGTTTTTTGGCTCAAGTTTTTTGTAGTAGTTTGGTATTCTAGTTTTTTGTTGCCGGGTGTTGTGAAGGGGTTCTGTCAATCAGATTCGAGATTCCCAGAGTATGCAGTCTGTTGCAATTAATCTTGGAATAAAAAGACCTCTGTGAGAATTTGGAGGTAAATTAAATTGAATTAGTTGCATTTGGAGAACATAATAAATGATAGAAACACGTTGTCCTACATTCCTTAGTACACGTATATTCCAGTTCCTAGTTGTATTACCCCAAGCATGGGATGTATTTTCAGTGGCCTTAAATGACTGTTATCCGATCTTTTGGCAAACATTCTGGCCTTTGATAATTTCATTGCTTGATAGAAAGTTACATGATTTCATTGAAAGTAACTCGCTGTCTAACACTGGTAAGCAAGCTTACATAAAACTACTATTTCTGTGCTGCACAGGTATTCACAGGTATTTGTGTCAGTAGAAATTGCAAGAAGAAATGAGAAATCTCTTTAAGCATGTGAATAAAAATTAGATTTGAAGTTGAACTGCTCTGCTCCATCTGAAGATAAGGCTCAGAAACGAATCAAGCGATCAGAACACATCTGTGCATGAGTACATAGGTTGTTGTTAGTGACAACCACGCATGCTATAGATCTACATCATTCTAGTAGGTTTAATATTGTGTACAAAACTTTGAAATGTTTTGCTAGAATTCAGAACTAATCGATTGATACGTTTTAGTTTCATCTCTGACTATGGATCTCGAAAAATATGCGAGCTATATTGGAGGTACTGCAGGACTGGTTGGGATTGGTGCAGCTACAGCTGCCAGTGCATTGTATCTTGCAACCAGACCAAGCCCAATCGTTCCACTGATTGATTTGAATAGGCAGTCATTAGAAATGTCGGTAAGATTGATATTTATTAAGTAGTACTTTAGTGCTTCTATATATATCCTCAAGAGAATGTTTCGTAGGCAAGTTTTAGTTTTTAGGCATACATTTTTAGTAGTGATATACATTCAGTAACAATATTGTAAATATTTTCATGTAAAGTGTGTGTTACTTCTTCTCTAATATATCATTGGTGTTCCAGGATGGGTCAAATATTTCACGGTTCTGCAGTCGAGATGGGAAGCTTATACGCTACCTGTTTGATGATGGAAAGACTCTGCATGAGTGTTTTAAAAGAGGGGAGAGGGTCTCACGTAAGTTGGCGTATAGTTTTTATGCTCTGTGTAATGGAAAACATAATTGTTTATTTAAAAGTATCTGTTCCGCACACCAGTTTGTTATAAACTGTTTCTATGAAAATTTAAGATGTATAGATTTGCTTGATTTGTGTGTGTGAAGGTCTGCTATAAATTTCTCTTAATTGCTGCAAGAAGCAGTTTCACATGGTTAGATTGCTCAACACATTCACATTTGGTAAATTATTGATATTCATACGATTTGCATCTTTGCTTATAGATAAAAATAAAAAACCTTAAAGGTAGTTGTGATTACTTCATGTGGATAGCTAATGTAATGGATATATAAATAATGGTTGGACTATTCATTAGTGCTGATGTAAAGTAAAAAAAGTAAACATAGTGTGGTTGTGTGCATTTCTTTATTCCATTCCAGAAAATGGACCAGCGTATGGCTACCGGGCAGAAAAAGATAGTCCTTATAAATGGCTATCGTACAGTGAAGTAAGTGTATATTTTAATGCACTGATTTGTCTGTTAAATACAAAGACAGACAGCTTTAGTGAGATGGATGATGTATGGTTGATGTTATTGGATGAATATGGAGTATGTACAATATTTTCTATGTGCTTGTTTGACACTCATCAGAAGCTTTAATTTTAAATTTAAAAATATTAGTATGAATACTTTGCAGATAATTGAATAATATATAATTAGCACAGATATAATATGCAATTAGCACAGCTAAGTTTTTGCACGTTTGCATACTGTAAGTGCATGTAGGAGTGTAATGTCAAAACATGTTGTGTGATTAATTTAGTGTGTAGATATCCTGATGAAACTAGGTTATACAAATAAGATTAGCATCTAATCTCACTCAGGAACAAGTCGGTAGTCTTTGCACCTATGTGTGAGTTACACCTAGTGGGTGTGACCAAATGAAAACCTATAATGGCCTGCTTAGCTCATGTGTAAACTGACTGATTTGTTACCTATCAATGATTGCATAGTTTACTCAAGACTGAATACAATTTACAAATCAATCTCAGTTTTTCTACTATTTACCTATCTTATAATAATACCTTACAGTGTCTCATTGGCTGAAGAATAGTGTGAAGTCTAATGTCACATTTTTAGCTCACCTTGACATTGTCAAGATAAACTATTGCCATGGGGCCTCGTCCGTCCCTCAACATTTGGCTACGGTCAATGATAACTTGAGAACCGTTTGATCCACATGTTTCAAATTGCGTACAATTGTTACTCCTATGGGAGAGATTTGAACGTCCTATTTTGGAGCACGCCAGTCGACCTACTTTTGAGCCACGCCCACCTTTTGGCAAAAATGAAAATGGCCATCTAGTTAGTATTATCTACGTACCAAAAAGCATTGTATAAAATTATTCCTGATGTGCTGATTGTTATTGATTTCAGGCATTACCCAGTTAGAATGCAATAAGACATTTTTTGTCATGGCATGGTTTTTTGCATGTAGGTAAGCAGGTCAGGCCAGAAGGTCAATATTTACATGTCCCGACTGCACAAATGCGAAAGTTAACTTATATATTAATTGCACGACACAGTTGACACGACATAGACAGTAACGGTACCTACCCTACATGCAGACGTGCATTCAAAAGTGCCACTCAGAGTGTAAGTGTAGTACTCTGGCTGTTTGCTCACACATTATGCGTACCTAGTTTTGTTCAAGTCACCTCTAGGATGTTATCATGAGTGTGATGACAATTTTGATAATGGAACGTCTTTTATGTCAAATTCAAGTTTTCTCCTAGCATTGAAATATACCTGCATGATACTTCCAGATTAGCAAGGTCACAGATTATGTATACCTGAGAGTGTACTAAAAACATAACCTGACACTTCTTCCCAACTCCCGTGACTGCTTCACGATATCTTTCATACTGATGACAAATTATGGAACAAATTACTGGCTACCGGTATTGCTAGCCACTGGTTAATAATGTATACTGACCTTTGAATCGTGCCAATTGCTCTCCATGAATTGACGTGTACATTAATTTAAACAATAGTTTATTAGAGTGATTAAGAGCTGCTATTCCACATGTGAGACATTCCCAGTGACATACAAATACACGTACTACAGACTACACATCTAGTAAGAGATATTAGCAAGAGTTGATTAAAACTTGCTATGTAGACCGATGTAGTAGATGTAAACTGAAAACCATGTTGAAATGATGTCAGGTTATACATAGATACTGCAAAATTCGAAATGAGAGGTGCAGTTTAAGATTCTTTAATCAAATTTTTGCACTACTTAAACATTGTTGATATTAGTAATTATTATAATTGAAACATCTTATTATGTAGACTGATGTAGTAGATGTAAACTGAAAACCATACATGGTTATAATCATATTCGATGAGATGTGGCCATTAGTGGGAAGTGGGCCAGTGGGAAAAAAACATTGTTGGAATTATGTGAGGTTATACATTGATACTGCAAAATTCGAAATGAGAGGGGCAGTATAAGATTCTTTAGTCAAATTTGTGCACTGCTTAAACAGTGCTATGGATTACAAATGTGAAAGTATTTGATGACGTTTGATAATGATTACTTTTAACATGCTACCAATATGTAATGTGGAACTAAATGCACTAGTTAATGAATAGTAAGAAACCTTTGTCAGACTAGCTTGATCCTGTACATTGAAAGCTTGTGTGCATGTCTTACAATTTGTTGCGTGCAATCAAGGTTTTACAAATGAAGACATGGAATAGCAGTTGCAAGATATTTAGATATATGTTAAATTTATTGCCTTGAAATATATTTTGTAAAAAAGATTACCTTTATATTATCTGTGTGCGTGCGTGCGTGCGTGCGTGCGTGCGTGCGTATAATCCCATTGATTCGACAAGTTTTGTTGTATGTTATTTTGTGGGCGTGGTATGCAGTTTTGTCACATTTTAATACTATCTATCTAGCTTGTGACAGAATTATCTAACCACTAGGGTTTCTAATGCGCATGCTTCTCTTACAGATTCTGACACATGCAACAAACCTTGGATCTGGTCTGATACAAAAAGGCCTAGCTCCGCGACCAGCAACATTCATTGGCCTGTATTCGCAGAACAGAATAGAGGTTCTTATCTAAAAGCCTATATATATATATATATATATATCAAGGGTGAATAATGACAAATTGTTAAATAATGACAAATAATTGACAAATTGGCACACAAATTGACAAATAATGACAATTTGTTATGATTCACCCCTAAGCTTTACAATAAGTGAAGTTATTGGTTTGGGTAATATTTTACACTGTTTTTGTTTTGTTTTACGCAAATATTTCACAACTTTATAATGGAAGGGTAATATAATACTAGTTGCAATTGCATCATCAATTCGGTCCTTAGGTTTACATATCAACTTTTTTATGGAACTTGTTTAATAGTTATTTGACTATAACTATATTTCTATGAACTAATGTATATCAAGGCAAATCTCCTTCTACTATTGCCTCTTCGTTTTAATAACTACGAGTGTAATGTTTTGCAGTGGGTGGTGACAGAGCAAGCTTGCTATATGTACTCAATGGTGATTGTGCCATTGTATGATACCTTGGGACCAGATGCTTGCAGTTTCATCATTGATCAAGGTTTGTCCTATAGCAAACAGTAGCAGGGCAACTATTTCAAAAATCGGTTTTCCATATTTTCCCAACTGAGCGATTTAAAGCTTTTGTGAAAAGAAAATAGTAACATAAATGCAGACTATAATGACACTTGAATTGGTCAGCAATGCAAAGCATCGACCTATCATGGTGGCAGCTGCTCATCTATTTTCACGACTGGCTCGTCTGTCACTCAAGTTAGGAAATAACTGCAATAGTTTTTGTAAGATTCTCTTGTACTAATTTGTGTAGAAGGAGAACTGCAATCGTATTACTGTGATTGCCACATGCGCACAAACATATTCCTCGTATTCTCTAAAAACATCTGCTACTCTTAACTTGTTGAACTTGTCTTAAAATGTCTGTAATTTGTAGTCTGTCAGCATCTACTGACTGCCAATTAGCTGTAACTAAGGTTTTGAAGCTGCACTACTAGGATAAGATGTGATACTAACTGTAAGTGAGATTATAATAATGGGAGATGACATATATACCCCGTACAGACTGCAAATTTGATATGGTATTAAACTGGTTCGGTTCAGGCGTGCACCAAATGTGTGAGTGGGTGCACGCTATCCCGCTCCAAATACGCGCTGGCCCGCACCAGTTTGGCTCCGTAAATGAAGGCGGGCCAGGCCCGGAATAAGTTATCCCGCACCAAGCTGTGTCTGTACGCAACACGTGGGCCAGACCCAGTGCTAAGTCGCAATACGCATGCGCATAGCCTTATTTAGGTCACGTAATTGTACAATTGCTGTCTGCGGGGTGACGTAGCGAGCTGAACTGAGAACTGATGACTCATTTAATGTAGAACCAAATATGCAGTCTGTATGCTACCATTTGGTGCGCGCCAGGCACGCACCAGTTTAATACCATATCAAATTTTGCAGTCTGTACAGGGTATTAAACTCTATGGTGAGCCATCTTTATTCAGCTAACTTTGACAGGGCTGGCTTGTCTTAGTACAGTGTGTAAATTGATCACTTCACTAATGTTTGCATTTACCTGAGTGTATGTCGTGCTTGTGTCAGGGCCTGCATGGAGCGCAATGTTGTGTAATGAAAAGTTGTGTTGTTTGAAATGACTAAATAAATAAATAATTAAATTAATTAATTAGTAAGTAAATGGATTAATGACAGAGAATGACTTCATAAATAAGTAAATATATAAATCGATGTGATAATAAATAGGTAAAAAGCGTGTGTGAGTGTGTGTGTGTGTTGACTTGCAGCTGAGATCGGCACAGTGATCTGCGACACAGAACAGAAGGCTGAGCGGCTGATCAGGGATGCTAAGCAGACGCGCTCCCTCCAGCGCATTGTGCTCATGTGCACTGTGTTGCCAGCGCTCGCCGAGAAAGCCAAGCGTGCGCAGGTGGAGTTGCTCAGCTTCACTGAGCTGCAGCAGATCGGCCGCGAGAAGCAACACAGCCCCGTGGTGCGTGTGCCTCCATGCTCACTCATCGAATTCTGTGTGTGTGTGTGTGCGTGTGTGCGTGCGTGCGTGCGTGCGTGTGTGCGTGCGCGCGTGTGTGTTTGTGTGTGTTCGCATCTGGCAACTCAATGATGCAATCAGTGTTGCGCAAATTTAATTGCGATTATTATTACACTTATGTTGAAATAGTTCTGACGTGATTTTAACATGCGTGGCCTAGTTTACAACAGCAGCTGACAGCTGGCAGATAGCAATTACGTCTTGCAAAGTTACAGATCGTTTACAGTGTCCTGACAATAAAGTGGAAATTTGTCAGGATATTGTGCAATATGTAGACAAATTCTTGGGGTAACGGTATTTTTTACACATTAGGCTTCAGATGATTAGATTAAAGTCTCCATTTTGCATTCAAACGAGAGCTTTATCACATCCCTCAATGCTGGGAATTTTTGTCAGTTTAACCAGCCATGCATGCTGAGCTTGTTTTACATTCATACCATAGAGATATAATTAACGGAATGTTCTGATTACATTAATTTGTTTTTTAAGTTGTTTTGTGATAGATACAGGCTCTCGTTTACGTGCTGTTCTGTCTTCAGCCATGCAAGCCCCAAGACTTGGCAACCGTTTGTTACACGAGTGGAACCACCGGGACACCAAAGGGTGTCATGTTGACACATGAGAATGTTGTTTCCTGTTCAGCAGCATGCCTCCTGCATCTGGTACGTAGCAGCCCTTGCCACAAGATTGGTACCTACAACAACCTGCTGGGGAAGTTTATGTTGAAGTTTTTTTCCCCAGTATCGATATACTTAACGATAAACGTATTTTCCTTGAGTTTTTACTCATTTCTGACAGTGTCATCATTTACACCATAAAATGTTAAGAGGTAGAACCTGCAGTTCTTAAGGATTGATTCCATAACATAGAACACATAGTGTCTCTTGTTTATGTTTTAGGGCTCCCTCATAACGGAGTGTCGTGAAGTAATGATATCATATCTTCCATTGGCCCACATGCTTGAGAGAATTGTGCAGGTGAGCAATACTTTGTTCATGTGGTTAATTTTATCAACAACCTATTGTAAACTATGGCTTCACTTAGTTCTGATGTTATCTATTTAAATCAGCATATCATATTTAAGGCACAACTATCTAAACACAAAGCAGTAAAGAATAATTTCCTATTTCAAACAGCGATTATAAATAATGGATTAAGTCTGTAGTGAAAATGGTATGATGAACAAGTATTCTGACTTGTCTTTTGCTCCAGTGCTGTGTGTACAGCATAGGAGGCTGCATTGGATTCTATAGGGGAGACATCAAGTGCTTGCTGGATGATGTCAAAGAGTTAAGACCTACAATATTCCCTGTTGTGCCACGCCTTCTCAACAGAATTTACGATAAGGTAGCACATGCCAATACTGCAAGATGGATATTATTATTGAGGATAGCTTTATCGTGCACATGTGTTATATCAGGAGTAAACATTAGTTACTTCACTCACGCACGCACATCCACATCCACATCTATCATCATGTGTAATTATTCATGTTATTTTATTACAATTGTGTTAAATTGAAATTGTGAAAATCGGAGAGGTTTTTCACATATTTGCAACCATTTTCATGCAGCAATGAAAGTGAAAAAATCAGCATATGGACAGAAATGAAAGCAGGTTTATATTTACTCGGTATTCCTTATACTCATTCGTAGGTGCTGCAAGGTGTGAGAGGCAGTAGGTTCAAGAGCATGCTTTTTCATCTCGCACTCCGGGCAAAGCTTGCAGAAATGAAACGGTAGGAATTGCATCTTAGCTTAACATTGTCTTGCATGTTTTCATTAATATATGGGTACAGATGAACATTTGTCTCTCTATATATACATGCAAATGCGCGCGCACACACACGAATGAATGTTTAGCTTGGTAACCTTGTGGATGAGGAATGCCTTTCCTATGTGTGAATCCCATGTTAGCTTTCCCATCTATGTATGAAGATTAGCTTTTCCATGTTGATATGAAGATTAGCCTATATGAGTGAAGATTGTGTTGCGAAATCTTAAATTTCGCCTGTGCTGGTTCTATCGTCTCAGTTATATCGCACACTCTATCATTGATACTGAACACTCTATCATTGATACTGAACACTCCACATATTTATATCACTCGTGGGTTTATTTAATATAGAACCCTCCGTACAGTCACTCTACTCTCCTTGCAGTAACACTCTATACAACTTTCCCCGTCAACACTCTTTTCCAATCTCCTTTCCCTCTGTTGCATTCCCCGTACCACTCTGTTGTGAAACCCGAATTTACATATGTAGCGTTTTGTGTCTCTCTGCGACACGCGATGGCGCCACCGGTCGACACGTGACTAGCAATAACCTTAGGTAAGAACACTCACCTAGTAGGTCCGGATGCGTTGAAATGGCCGTATCGTCGCCACCCGGACTCCGCTAGCCACCAGAGCGCCTCAGTGTTACTGCGCTCACTCCGTAGTACCCAACCCAGCGGGTCTTGTTCAGGCTCCGGTGGCGATAGCTCGGCGGGTTTAGTCACCACAATGCCTGTATGAAGGGACGACACACCACACTAACATGGAGCGCAAGGGGCACCACCACGCTATGCTCTGCTTGGCCTTAGTTACGTCTTTAGTAAGTATCTCAATAATATGTCAACCTGGTGTATAAAAAAAGGCTATACAGATATAGGCGTAAGGCAGGCAAAGGGCTTAAATAAACCGGCAGGCTCTCTACTGCACGGCCGCTACAGCATTAGGCCAGTTTTATCTATCCTACACGGGTGCATTGGCACTTCTTCTCTCTACTACTTTTTATGGAGTCCATTTAATACTTACTCACTGTATTATTTACTCGCGCCACAACAACAGGGACAGATACAAACTCGTGCCTACCTCCACCAAAACCTGTAAGCTCTTAACCGTGGCTGTCTCTCGCCGGGGATCTACATACCCAGCCCCCGCGCCCCCCCAGCGCTCCAGCCCACAATGCCAGCGTCGACCACCGGTGGCCGTACGGTACTGTACTGACCAGTACAACATTTACGCCGGCGTCACCATGTACTCTCCAGTCTCCCACACCACACCCTCCATACGGCCTTATCCACTCTATGTCTACAGAGTTGGAACTAGCTACCATGGCTGCGGGCCTCCGTCACTCGACTCCCAAGACGAATCGAGTGTTAGTCTCTCAAACGCCCGAACGAACTCGAGTGTTACCTCTCTAAACGCAGACGAACCGAGTGCTACGTCTCTCAACGCTCGAGACGAAGCTCCACGTGTACCACTACCTGACTCACACACAGTGTCAGCTGTTCATTTCTCACCGCGTCACTCTCTGCCCCTGTGTAGGGCCTTGACTAATCACAACAACAATGATGAGAGGCAAAACACACCGAAAAACGACACATCTAATAAACAGCAGACATCACAATAATTACTCAGTCACAACACGAACATTCAACCATACCCTGCCTGTGGTTCGGTGAAGGCTACCCCACAGATTTACCTAGGCTGGGAACCGTGGTGACCGGTTGCCACCGCCACATACAATGTCTTATTACATAAACATAATAATAAGATTGATCCCCCACATGTCATCGCATTCCAGCTGGCACCGCTGCGCCGAACAGATTCTTTGAGACTATTTCTTATACACATACATGATCTACATGTTCACAGTCTACATATCATACATATTCATACAATTATACATTATGATATACGTTTATACATGATATTTCCCAACACTCTCCCCCCCCCTTGACTCATCATTGAGTCAAGCCATTCATGCACGTAACTGTCTTAACTCACGTAAGCGCTGTCGAGCTTTTACTGCTGCTGCTCTTTTGGACCTATCCCCTACTCTTCCTTCTTGCCTGTCTCTCTCACTTTTGCTTCTTACCTCTAATGGGTATAGTTTCTGCATCGGTCTACTAATTCTAACTGGTTTATCCCCAGTAATCTCCCTTACTCTTTATGGTGCCCAACATTTTGATCTTACCTCTGCTAATGTTGCTCTTACACCACTATGATGCACTCTCTTGTGACAATCTCTAATAATAATCAGTTCAGTTAACTTGTGCGCTTTCTGTAAAATAACTGGGTACCTTGCCTTAAGTTCCATATTTGAGTTGCCTAACCTACCCTTGCAGTGCAAAATTCCTCTTTCCTCTACAAACCCTAACCTTCTTACCTATTGCTTAAATTCACTCTCCTCAAGTCGTTGTCCTCACTCTCCTCAAGTTCGTTTTCTCAAGTCTGCCTGTGCTGACTTGAATCACTCTTTTTTCTAATTACCTCTAGTTCATATCTACAAGCCGCGTGACAAATGATTTGTGACTTCCCGAGTCAAATAGCAATCTAATCTTTCCCTGCCCTTTCTCGTTGACCTTTCCCAGGGCAGTTTGTAAAGCCACGCGATCCCCGGTCTCGACATGCATACTTGAGCTCAAGGGGTCGTTGTCGTATCAGGTACTACAGATATGTACCCGAGATACATATATCATGTATACACAAAGTGTACCAGACTTGTACTACAGAAGTGTACCCTAACCCTAACACTAACCCTAACCCTAACCCTAACCCTAACCCTAAACATACCTCATATAAAAATATAAACATAATACTAAACAACCTAAAACTACCTCGGGTACATATCTGTAGTACCTGATACGACAACGACCCCATCTGCCATACTTGACGGCCCACGTGTTACCGTACTCAGTCCCGATTCCCACTCCCTTCTATTATACTTGAGTCTTTCTCCTGCACACAACGACGTATGGTGCCACCCCCACAACGTTTACACTTTACTACCACTGGACAATCTCGGGTGCGATGCCCTTTCCTTATACAATTGTAACATCTAGCATATCTACGCAGGAGCTCTTTTCTTTCCTTTACACCCGTGACCTTAAAACAATTTTCATGAGCATGCTCTCCCAAACAAAAAGCACATATATTGTCTCTGTCTCGTCCCGTGAACAAGTCACTCGCTGTCGAGGGAAGCTGTCCCCGACGTTGACTCTCTCTTCCCGGTCGGTCTGCCTGGCTCACTCTCTGTGGTGGCTGCACATGATGTTATTCTCGCAGTCCTACTTCTCTTCTTAAAGCTTCGAGCATATCCTTCATCGACCAGTCCAGATACTCTTTTCCCCGCGTAATGGTGATTTCAACAGTACCGGTAACTTCTCCAAGACCGCGGGCACAACTATACTCGAATACGTTTCTTCCGGGAGGCCCAACGCCTTCAATCCTCTATAGTGCATTTCGACTGTATCGCACAAGCCTCTCAGCCGCACGGTATAGATCTCTCTCACTGAATACCGGTACAAGGTTCAGGAGTTCGTTCACGTGCGCTCGTTGTATGATATTCTTCTTCCCATATCGTTCCTTCAACAGTTCTACTGCAGCTTGATAATTTGCACTAGTTAATGCGAACCCTGCAGTCGCAGATTTTGCGGGTTCTTCCACCAGTCCTCGCAAATATGTGAATTTATCCACATCTGACAAGCAGTCATTCCCATGAATGGCACTCTCGTAACAGTTCCAAAATCCTTGCCATTCGTGTTCTTTTCCGTTGAACTTCCTTGCCTCTAGCTTCGGTAGTTTAGGCCTCACTGCTCTTGCAGACGATACTGGGCCCAGCTCCGATGCTGGCTGCTCTGCTGCTTCCTGTTCCTCTCGCTCATTTGGTACCAGCTGCCATCCATGTATCCTTGAAATCATATCTTGCACTTCTATTCTGAACGTGCCAGCTTCTCCCACTTCTAGTTCTATATCCATGTCTTCTTTCTCACTCATTATCTCCAGGATCTCTTCGTCTAATCTTTGTACGGTAGCAAGCTTTTCTGTCAGCATTGCTTTATGTTGTGTTAACCTTCTCTCACTGTCACTAGGCGTACTACTAGTACTAGTAGTAGTACTCTCTGCCATCCAAGTGCTGACTCTTGTCATGACTTTCTTGGCATAGGCTCTATGCCCTCCCCTCATCCTCTTCTTATTTAATAGTTCTTCCATGGTGACAATGTATCATTCACTGAGTTGCCGACGATCTATCTATCCGGTCTATCCGGTCTAACAATCCTATCCAACAATCATCTGGCTCGAAGGACCATGTGTTGCGAAATCACCAAATCTTAAATTTCGCCTGTGCCGGGTCTATCGTCTACGTTATATCGCACACTCTATCATTGATACTGAACACTCCACATATTAATATCACTTGTGGGTTTATTTAATATACAACCCTCCATACAGTCACTCTACTCTCCTTGCAGTAACACTCTATACAACCTTCCCCCGTCAACACTCTTTTCCAATCTCCTTTCCCTCTGTTGCGTTCCCCATACCACTCTCTCTGTCGTGAAACCCGAATTTACATACAATGTACTAATTACTATAAACATTTATAATAAGTTACTACCCCCACACGTCATCGCATTCCAGCTGGCGCCGCTGCGCCGAACAGATTATTTGAGACTATTTTTTTTACACATACACGATCTACACATTCACTGTCTACATATCATACATATTCATACAATTACACATTATGATATACGTTTATACATGATATTTCCCAACAGATTGGCCTTCATATATAAATGAATGTTAGTCACCATGTGTGGATGAAAGTTGGCGTTTCTTTGTTAATGCATTGAAACTGCTTCTTGTGATCTTTTCATGTGTTAGATAATGCATCGTCTGCTTTCTGCCATGCAGGGGAATCATACGCAACAACAGCATCTGGGACAAGCTTGTGTTCAGCAAGGTGCAGGCGATGATGGGCGGGCGCGTGTCCTTCATGGTCACTGGCTCAGCTCCCGTAGCAGACAATGTTCTCTCCTTCATTCGATGTGCGGTCGGCTGCGCTGTAAGTACTACGCACTTTGCCATTACCGTGCAAACAACTGCTGCAGGTGTAAGAGCATGTTAATGTGTAGCCCGACCAGGCTGTGCGACGGATTGTCTATACAGCCTGACACCCTTCCATACAAAAAACCCATCACCTCTGCAGATCTAGATGAATAACACTGTATATCTCAAATAAAACTATTCTATTACCACCTTTGACTTGCCTTGTTTGAAATATGAACGTTAACTCACAGTTGTCCTGCTTCTAAACTAGAATGTATCTCTTAATTCACGGTATAATCTGCTAATTCTCACAGCATATAAACTTTCCAATCAGCTTTACCCGCCATGTTTAGCGAGGCATGGAAAACCCAAAACGGAAAAGACTCGCTAGAAAATACTACAGAAATAGTACAATGGCTGCACGATGGCTGTCGCGGCAATTACACACCAAAGCAAGTGAAACGATGTTCACAAATGTCTGGGCTATTTGGAAAAACCTTAGATGACATGTTCTCGGATGTAGGAGTGGTTTACATGAGGACCGCAGATCGTTTAATTTTCTTTGTTCGATCCATTACGGATTTTAGTCACAGTCGGAATGATAGCAAACATGGCGGCGAATTCATAAATTTTGTTGCATTAATCTCAAAAAGTCGCTGTAACCCCGTAAGTACCCAGCGCATCGTAGCGCACTGATGGTTACAAGAGGGTGGACGTATACTGATTCATTTGGTATATCACATGTGTAGTGTTCTTTGGCGATACTTGGCAAATAAGGCAACTACGTGTTTAGCTACAGCCAAGGTTTGAAACGGTATTCTAACCCTAGCAATACCGTTTCTTGGAGCTAGTTAATGTGTGAATAATGTGCTTTCTAGGATGGTGCTATAGTGTTTGCTAAGGTAAGAATATTGTGTCTTCAAAGATGAAGGTGATTTGTCGTGTAAGCTGGAACTATGTATGGTGTTTGCTAAGATGGGACAGGTGTGTCTATTAGTGCAATTAGTCTATGGCATTTGCTTAGTTGTATGAGCATGGAAGTACATATCAGTATCAGAAGCTTAAAAATGAAAATCTTTGGTAAATTAGATCCAGACATTAATCCACGTAAAGATACTTGTCTTCATAATATATTTCTATAATAAATATATATATTATTACATTGTATTTTTTTATATTACTTATTATATATTATTTGTTTTAATATATAGTTGCATGCTGTGTGCCAATATTCACTGTGGTTATCATATCACGCTCAGAAAACTGAGAAGATCAAATTAACCTTTACACGTTCACATTGTAATCCATTTTGCTGACGACCTTCCTGTAGAGAACACATTGTGATGTCGTGTGCAGGTGTTAGAAGGTTACGGACAGACAGAGTGCGTGGCTCCATGCACACTCACCACGTACGGCGACAACACTCCTGGACACGTCGGGCCACCACTGCCTTGCAACCAAATCAAGCTGGTCGATGTGCAAGAGATGGAATACTTTGCACATGAAGGCAAGGGCGAGGTAATGATTTAGACTTGTTCTGATGAGCGACTGGTTGTTAGATGTTAGATGTTAGATGTTAGATGTTAGTAGACGCTTGCCACAGTATCTGACTGCAAACAGCACGACATACTAGTTGGATATTTGAAGTTGTTGTAATGTACAAATTTCTTGGCGACTAGATAGACATTTTAAATGCGTAACAGATCACACAAACCCACGTATGCATGCTCACATACACGCATGCACGTTCGCACATATACACGCAGTGTGCAGAGCCTACATGGAATGGTTAAGAATTGAGAAATGGTTGTGGTTCATACGCAGTTCAGTTTTAAACGTTTTCAAATTTGCACAGATAGTGTACGTGAGGTAAGTAGAATATCATGCTATTATCTGCTGATGCTTGGTAATAATGCTGCAGGTGTGTATTCGAGGACCTAATGTGTTCATCGGCTACTTTCGTGATCCACGCAAGACTGCAGAAGCACTGGATGAGCAAGGCTGGCTTCATACAGGGGATATTGGAGAGTGGATGCCGGTATGTCTATCGTCCTTACTCACTATTATTTGGTCGCCTTATGGTCCATTTCGAGGAAAAGGTCGGGACGTATATATAACACATACACTTTGTGGAGAAACAGTGTAGTGTGGATCCTGTAGTGTAATGACTATGATCTATTAGTTGATTACTGTGAATTGCAATTGCTGCCGGATTCGTCATATCTTACCGGCTATCTCGGAGTTTACTTTTGTCCAAACACTTTTAGATCAACTAAAATAACGAGCAGCTGTTTACTATCGTGAAGCAGCAACTGGATCATTTTCCCAGAGGTGTGAAAAAGGGAGTGGTACAGATTGCTGCATTGTGTCTTTTATTCGCACTAAGCTTTGCTGTTTCTGCATTGAAATTATTAGCATTCATATTTTGCAACGCCTTTGATTCATGTGGCCTGTGAAGTTGCTGCAAATGCTCTATTGGTTTCATATGCTGTAAATTAGTGCACCAGAATGTCAGATAAAATCATACAAGATTGATTGTAATGTCATGCACTATTACACAAGACAATCGTATGTATTCAATTTCTGGTCACAAATGCGTATAACTTGGTTGACATTTCAGTAAGGTCTTTGGTTAGCAGATGAAGAGAGCACAACCTGGTGGGAAAACCATTATTTCTCAGGCACATTTTACTATGAAATTGCTAGGAATACATGATCAGGGTGCTGTATCTAGCAGGATACACAAAGATATCTTTAGTAACTCCCATACGTGTTTATGTGTGTGTACAGAATGGAACTCTGAGGATTGTCGACAGGAAGAAGCACATCTTCAAGCTTGCGCAAGGAGAGTATGTTGCTGCAGAAAAGATCGAAAATGTGTACCACCGGTGCCCTCTAGTGGCACAAATCTACGTTCATGGGGACAGCTTGAAGGTAAGATCAAGTTGCTCATTTCAGACTGTCAACTAACTAACATATCCGACTAGCATTGTGATGCTTTTATTAATAGAATGCGGTAAGATATTACATGTGACGATATTCGTTTTCCTGCAGTCATGCTTGGTGGGTATAGTTGTGCCAGATCCGGATGTTTTACCAAGGTTTTCCACGCAGAATGGCATTGAAGGGGAGAACATGCACGATTGGTGCCAGAACAAGGTTAGAATGGAGTTTACATCTTTCTCGTTTACTTGTTGACAATAAATATAATAAAACATAATGCATGTTCAATTAGTTGATGATGCAGCCATTGGTATCAGTCTGTATATATCATTTTATCATGCTGTCCTAAATGTTTGTTCTAATTGTTGTTTGGTTCTGCAAGAAATGGTTTGTACCCGACGTTAGTTAAATTGTAATGTGTCGATTACAGTGAACATACCTTCCTTTGTGTGTTTGCAGGACATAAAGAAAATCATTTTTAATGATTTGATCTCTGCTGGCAAGGAAGCTGCATTGTGCTCATTTGAACAGGTGTGTGGTGAAAAGCGGAGAGATATGGATCGTCAACAACTCTTGCTTTGAGATTTGGCTATAAATGACATAATGTGTTCAGAGCAACAATTGTCGTTCTATTCATATAACGCTTAGTTCCTATGCGAATGATATAATGTTAGAGATTACCCAAAAGGTAGTGTGATGTTGTAACTCATTCAGCACTAAGTTTGTTATGTTTCCTCTGCATAGGTGAAGGAGATATATCTTCACCCTGAGCTGTTCTCTGTAGAAAACAACCTTCTGACTCCAACCTTCAAGAGCAAACGTCCTGCACTGGCTCAATTCTTTAGACCTCAGATCGACACCATGTACAGCAACTTGGAATGATGGTGTTACGCTGCACAGTGTCAGGAGAGTGAAGAATTGTGGGGTCATGTAAAGTAAATAGTACTTAGATACATCATGCTAGGTTAGTATGCAGCATATTCTAATTATCAGAAGCTCAATATAACACATCTGTTATGATGAGCTTCTATAATCATGCACTGTACACTCTGGTGTTGTGGAGATGCACATCCACCTTGGCCAACATGGCTGGCTATATGAATATAGATCCAGCAGGGATAGTGTACAGCATACTATGTACATGTAGATCCAGCAGGGATTGTGTACAGCATACTATGTACATGTAGATTCAGCAGGGATTGTGTACAGCATACTATGTACATGTAGATCCAGCAGGGATTGTGTACAGCATACTATGTACATGTAGATCCAGCAGGGATTGTGTACAGCAGGGTGTATAATAGTATGTATACACGTATGGATACTATATATAACACTCAGCTAGATAGTTGTACAGCAAGCTGTGAAGATTTACAACACACACTCATACATTCATGCAGGGTGATGTACAAGAGAATGTAATGATGTATAGCCTTGTACTGATGTGCTTGATTGCTAATGTGAAGTTTATTGTGATGTGTAATAGTAATGGGAAACTTTATCCAATTCATTGTAATTGTTATTATACGAGACAAGTTGCGTTCATGTTCACAATGATGGAAAAGTTCAATTTAATAGATGTGGAAATAATTAGCAAAAGTACATCAGTAACATCAAATATATCACTACTAAACGTATAACACTCACAATCCATTAGAATTGCCCTATTTCAAAGCTATCTTCTAAAGCTTGTCATCAAAATCCATGTTTGTGGCAATTTCAATTTTTGAATTTCTTTATTAACGTGCCCTTTTAAGAATGCACGTTTTCAGGCTGCCAAAATGGGTTAAACTTAATGTTTTATTCATTTTAGTAGTATAATATTCTCAATAACCTCGTGAATTTATGTATACATGTACAGGTTGACTGCCAAATTTCCGGCAATTGTTAGTCCGGCAGTTTTACACTGATTCAATTTTACCGCACATACTCCATCTGTAGTGTGCCGAGTCAGAACTATGTCTCCAATATTTAATTATGATATCTTATACAGACACATCTGCATTGTTTTATAGCAGCTAAGGGTGCTTGAGAGTTGTTGCGTGAGCTGTCTATTAGACCTCTGATGGTCTGCAAAAACCGCCGCTGCAGTATGGCTCTGCATGGTCTCCAGGATGCGATAATATCAGGAGTGTATCATATATAGATCTGTATTATACACTCCTGCTAATATCAGTGGTCGGCCTGTACTTAAATTCATTGTAACATGTATGTAATATATATGTGCTGGTTATACTTGTATGTATATGCTTGCATGTATTGTTTCTGGACGTGTAACACTTATTTTGCGTGTACAATAAACTCTAAGTAACTTTGGTTACCTGATTATTTAGAGTGTGTATTAACGTAAACATATCTATATAACGAACGTTCAAGCGCACTATGGAGTGCATTCCTGCACCCATGCCATTTCCGATTTTTTGGAAGTTAACACCAATGTGCAACTCTTGACAAAATCTTTGTTCATTTGTTCAATGATTCTCAAAATAGCATCCATCATGTAGCACAAACACAGCAGACCCATGCCGCACCATTTTCACATCCTAGCATAATAATATATGAAACTGTGACTTGATCCTAGTCTTTAGTGTTATTAAGTTGAATGGTACAATTATTGATAAAAAATATAACAATGTATATTATAAATATATCTAATTACTCCATAGTGTCTCATTGTTACATATTTAAATTATAAAATTTGGAACTATGTTGTAACCTTTGGTACATAGAAACCAGACTCGTGCTACCGTGTGCTGCGTTTTTCTGCTATCTAGTGGCAATTTTTGAAAAATGTTGAAATTGCTTATATTGCATAAACAAGCCCGTAGTGCGCTTGCGCGCTCATTCCATAGATATTTTCATGGTATCGTGGGATGGCAGTGCATGGCTTTACTGGTCCGCCTGCAACCAGAGTGGAACTAGACTAAACTGCTACATGAATGAGTATATTTGCATATAACATGAGTATTGCAAATGTATACTTAGATGTGAAATAGACTGAGCTGCAGGCTGGTTGTAAAAACATCCAGTGATCAGCGGTGATTCACTCGTCTGTAAGTCATTATAAACTCGTGATCCTTTGTAGATTTATTTGTTGCTCCAACTTCCTCCCTTGTTTAAGTGTGGTGAGAACAATGTTTGATATGTTTGTGCAATTAATCGTGCATGATGTAAGTGGCGGTACCGTTATTATTGATGAACAAGACCAATCCTGAAGTTCTGAATATTCCAATGCTATAAGTGATCTGTATGTTTTGGGTGATAGCTATATTAATTATTCAGTAGGAAAAGCGACCATATACAATCATATTGGCACTGGCTTGTTATACACACCAGATTTGATGATACAAGGTAGTTCGACATGGTTGAGAATCAATTACACCATGAATGAGGTGAATCGGCAATATTTTTAATAGCATTGTTGGATTGAATGGTAGTGATGTTTACATTTTAAATTTTACCTCGTCAAAGATTACTAGTCATTCGCCTTGGGACAAGTGTCAATAATTTGAAGTAAAAATGTTTGATTTCATCTCCATTTAGTTAAGTTAAGAATCTATGCAATGATGCTGGCGTGTCAGGCGGCGTACGATTTCAAAAAGGCGTGCACTTATCGTTTATCGTGTTCATATTATAGAGGTGTTGATATAGTGTGCATCGTAGTTGCAAGTAGTTGCATCGTAGTTGTGGTCAGATTGACAGAGAGAATTTTAATGGCACGGTCTGATCGAAAGGCTAGCTAAGAAACACTGACTTATTGTACTTTGGTACGTGAGTTCTGCATTTTGCGGCCACGTGAAGAATATACATACGGTTTGGTGTGGACTTTTTCCCCTCAGGAATAGGGCTAAGTGCCGCTGTCGTGGCTCTTTCATGATATCCGTGAGTAAAACCTCGTATTGGTTTCACTGAGAATGACCATCGAAGTTAAAATTGAAGGTTAAAACTTTATTTAAAAAGATTGAGGAGCCTAAGATTTTCGTATTTATAATTCACATTCTTTAGCCGACATCTGGCAAATTGTATGCTTTTTTTTGCAGTGCATGTATGTAGGCATTGATATAAACCGATTATTTTGATATTGGGTGCTGGTGTTGTTAGCGTGGTCAGGCATCGCTGTAGTGGGATTGTTCCCTGTTCATATTACAAAAATGAAGCATCCGGCGGGACACACTAGGCGATTTTATTGGGCGACTAAATCGCGGTGAAATCGCCTAGTGTGTCCAGTCAGTCGCCGCCGATTTAGTCGCCCGATTTAATCGCATAGATCAAACCGTTTTGATATTATCGGGCGATATTATCAGGCGATTAAGTCGCCCCATAAAATCGCCTAGTGTGTCCACTCGACTCGCGCGGTAAAATCGGGCGATATTATCGGGCGATGAAGTTGCCCGATTAAATCGCCTAGTGTGTCCGGCCCTTTAGGGCGATCGTAGACCTGCGTGTGAATTGCGACACAGGAGGTGAATTTCCAAATGAAAACCATTAGAATGTTTCTAGTGCACAGCATCCTATATAGTTTAGCAATGTTAGCGTAGCGAGGAGAGAGTACGGTAGAAGTCATCTTGTTGTGATCTATTTTATTTATGTCTTATAATTGTGTAAGCTTTTTCTATTTTGCAATTGTAGAAACTAGGTCGCAAGTCTAGATAGAGACGCACATATATGCTGGAATTATTAGTAATTATTAAGTTACAGTGAGTTTCACTCTGTTTCAGACTAATTTATTATTGGAATTATAGGTAGTTGTAGAGTGCTATTTTCTCCAATATGATATACTATTCAGTAAAGTTTGCAGCTGTTCTAAATCTGTCTTGTTATAAGGCAGGTGACGGATTAACTTACCGACAGAGCGTGAGCATGACGTATTCCATTGCTGCGGGGTTTTACCGGATGCGAGTATAAACTTTATCACTCATTATTACGACTGTTGATTAGAGATGATGCAAGCCAAAGTTATCTACGGCCAAAGATACGTTCGCTGTATGTGTTCCTGTGTTTATCCTGCAAGCACCCAGAGTTACATGTTACCCGCAAGTATAACCCGTTTAGCACCGGCACTTTTACTTTTCGGAGGCCTTAACTATGTGCTGGTCATTCATTGCTATCACACGCAGGACAATCCGGTGTCAGGCTGTCAGCCGTAAAAATAAGCCTGAAATTTTATAATACTTGTATGACAATTCACAATACTGCGTAATATGTGAGAGATCGTCGGTGTTTTAATTTAATAATTAGTACTTTGTTGTGATATACCTATGTACGTGCATAATAACGTATATTCGTAGGCTGGACAATTAGTACGAGGCAAGCTACCTATAGTGATTGTGTTTCGGGCTCAGACTCTGTAATTCTAAATATGAAAGTGGCCGCTAACCTTAGCAGCAATATTATTTTAGCCTTCCAAGACGTGAAAGAACTCGCTGTCGAGTGCTTCCCTTGCGTTATTATGGCTTCACCGTATTGCACTAGACTGGCGCGCGTAAATTCCTATAACGTATAACTAGACGGATGTGCATTTTGATATTAGATGAGCTAATGTAGACTATCAGGTCTCATGCTACTGTGTATGGATGTTAACTGTGTGTTTACCTGAAAAGGTTGCAGGAATTGTCGATCGGAAAAAGAAACAGTTATATGCACAATAGAATTAAATGACCGGATTTATTTTTTAAAACGTACGTGTGTATGATGGTAACCTAAAACAGTGTATAGGCAGTGATTTTTATCTAGCGGTGGAAAATATCAAAACGTGACAGTATTGTTCTTTACAATCAGGGTCATTGTTGTAGAGGTGTAATTTGAGCAGGTGATCCTCTGTAGCACTATTCTGTGTGCAGCATATCAGCTTTATTTGAGTTCAGGATGTATGCTAATTGTTTATTGCTAATTTACATGGTATCAAGTGGTTACCGATCTAAGATGAACATATACAACTCATTTTTATATTTATTCATACAATGAATACAATACATACGTAATGAATGTGTTGAAGCAAAATCTACGTATCTATGTAGTGTGTTACCTGGTAATTAATAAAGCTTTTCATTAAACACTATTAAAATTGACTACAGTAATTCAGAACGGACTTTCTACTTTTAATATTGGTTGCGTGACTGATTTTACTTGCCATGAATTTTTTTAATTGCGTTTATTTTTAATCGTTTAGTGAGGAGTTAACCTGGCAGTACATTAGTATTGGCACGAACATGTGTATATTAGTTAAGATACGTTTATGGCATGCAGAGGCGGAGCATGTGCGATACTATAGCGGGAGTGCGGTTGTAGGAAGTCGTAGGACATAGTGATGCTGATGGTGTTTCACCTGTAGCGATTCTGGTCGCTTGCGACGAGTTGCAAGAAATCGAACTGTTTTCATTTCGTCATCATTTCATTTCAGTTCGTCGCTCCCAATCGCTACCAAATTGCTATAGAATTGCTTCGAAATCGCATGTGTGCGCACACGCGATGGCATATCGACCGGTCGCTTGCGGTTGCAGGTTGCAGCGACGAGCAATCAAAAATCGCAGGTCTGCGCTAGGCTTAATATTAAGCTTTATGTATTTTTGCGTTTCAGTGGAATTACAATAGATAGTGATATGGCACGACTGTAGCGTTGCAGGCTTGTTCCGTGGCTGTGCCTCCATGGTCATCCTTGGCAGGGCGAAAAAAGAATATTGTTCTCAGAAATTGTGATTTGAAGAGGGATATTTGCTATGACATATATAATCATATACATAATATGACAGCAATCAAAGTGGAGATTAACGTGAAGAAACGCGATTAGTTTGAAACAGGCGAATGGACCGACGAGGAAGAGCAGGACTAGAAGAAGAAAAAGAACCAAGGGGTTAGTAGGACCAGCAGGGTCGTAGCTAGCGGGGGAGGAAGTGGACAAGGGGACAATTCTCCCACAGAGAAAGTAGATACATTACGTGGTCAATGGCGGTCATCTTCCCAGAACACAACCCGCAACTGGTTTTTGCCCGACTCCAGAATAAAATGGTTAGCTACGCACCTGAAAAGTTGAGGGAGAGAGAGGAAAGGGGTTGAAACGACGACGGGCGAAAGGACTATAAGAAATGAACGAGGTGGCAGGTGGCAAGAGATGCAGAAGGTCAAGTTATAAAGTGCAGATTTTTCTCAAATTCCCTATACGGTATTCTCTTTGATCCCGCATATCCACTATCTGATAAAAGCTATGTCAGATGAGCTAAAAAGTAGAGAGCACATCTAATGAAAAGTGTTCAATAGAAAATGAAGGGGAGGAACAAGAAGATGAAAGTGACAAAGATAAGGAGAGTGACGTAGAGGAAGAAGGGGGCACGCTGGTGTACTAAGTAGCAGAACATAGATATCTACGTATAAAAATGTGCGTAAGGTGTTTATATGCACTCCTGGTATAGTAGATATTATGGTGGCAAATGGAGGAAACACATCCATCGGGTGAATAGGTCACGCAACAAAGAATCGGGTTTGAAACGGATTGGGAACCGGACCAACTGAATCACCCTCTGGATCCGTCACATATGTGGTATAAGTAGCAATATATACGGTCTAGTCGTAATGCTTTTCCATTTAGGCAGATAACGTATTTTTATTGTGTCATCAATGTAGAATTTTCATTTCACTTGCACACACCTACATTTTATAACGCATGTCGCAGCACGGATATACGTTATATCAGGAGTGAATAATAATAGAATTTGAATTTCCACATACATGAAAAATAACTACAGTTTACTTTAATATTTGCTAGAATGAATGGGTTGACCAGTGCGTATAGTTGTAAGACTTTATTTCTGTGCTCATGGTGGGTCGCACACGCTCCTGCTCTATCATTTCGTTAAGCGCTGTAACAATATCCAGTAGCGAACAAACATTACAACAAATCCCAATAAATTATAAAACGTTTTAAGACAAACTTCTTGCCACTGCGTTTCTCGCCATTTAGCACAAATAAATGAGCAATAATCATTTGCTACGTAATATTGGTTCAGCCTGTTCAAGAAACGATATTAGGTCATTCACAGCATCCCGGACCACCCCCAAATGATGCAATACAGCTTGATTTCCAAAACAGCTACAATAAAAAACCTATAAGAATTCTTCGAAGAAATCATTGATTACAAT